CAGCATGGGATTTTGAATATCTCTCCAAGACTGGGTTATCAAGATTAACAAGTGGTAACCTTTTGAAATATTTATAATTTGGCATAGCAAACTGAAACTTAGACTTGTTACTTTAGATTTGAGTCAAATATTGAAGTACAGTATTTAGACAAAAATACTGGGTAGATTACATCTACAGGAGCTGCTCAGCCATGGGACTACATGCCATGAAACTCCTGGCTTACAGTTTTTGTGCTGATGTTAATGGTAGAGGAGGTCTGGAACTTGGTTGTCAGCAAATGTTCCACACTTTGTATCCATGCAGCCAGTGACCCCGCTCCAAAAAGAAACTGTTGCTAAGTTGCAGTTTTTGCTAAATCAGTGGTCCCCAAACCCCGGGCCACAGACCGGTACCGGTCCGTGAGTCGTTTGGTACCGAGCTGCGAGTGTTGAGGCTCGGGTGTGAAATTTATGGTCTTCAGGGTTTTTATTGGTTTTTAGTGCTTTTTTCTTTTTTATCGTTAACTCTGTTTCCCTGGATCTTTTCCCGTGTGTTATGAACAAATCTTTTTTTGGTACCGGTACTGGTTTTATTTTGTTGTATTTTTCCATGACACCTTAAAGGCCGGTCCGTGAAAATATTGTCGGACATAAACCGGTCCGTGGCCCAATAAAGGTTGGGGACCTGCTAAACGCTTCCTCTTTGCAATAATACCACATATCATTGTGGTGATACATCAGAGGCAAGATCTTTCACAGGCTGCCTTGTTGCCAGCGTTTAACCCTGTACTTCTGTCCATGCAGTGTATCTCCATGTGACTGTCGGTTGTACTTGCTTTTTCTGACATTTTCCAACCTACAAACCATTAAAGAACACGTGCTAGCATGTTCTCTGAATTTTCACATTGACCTATAGTCAGTATTGTTTTTTGTGGCTACCTGTCAGTGCTATAATGATAAATATCCTAGCAAAGGTAAATTGCTAGGAAGGTAAATTTTTATGTCCTTATAATACTTTATTTTTCCTTTGTGTTTTGATCGTGGTGTTTCCTTTGTACATTCTTACAATTTTTGAGGAGCTGTTCAGACTAATGGAGAGTGAATGTTTCAGCAGCTTAAATCATCCTGTATTTGATGGTGAAGAGAAATAAAACATTTGTAGGAACTTGTTTCCTTTTAATCAAAAAGTTTCTTTTTTTTAAGCACTCCTTACACTTACTGTGTAGTTAAGACTCTATCATGAGTAATGTGTACTGCTTTTAATAAAATTACAGTGGATCTACTTATCCATGAGCACAAATTATGTTGAACAGTGCTGTTGCTTCTTTTCCAGATAGTTTTTGCATAGTGAAGGTCATCTTCCTGTTGAAGGGAAGTGTGCCTCATCAAGCAGTATCCACACGGTGTGGCAATAAAACACCCAAATCTCTCTTTCCATTAGCAGAGCCCC